TACTGGAAAGTGACCTGAGCTGAGAATAGTGAATATCTAAAATTTATACTGGGAAATTGTGATTGAACGTGACATGACGCAACGATGTGCTGCAAATAATATTGTAGAACTCAAAGTCTAAATTTGTTAGTCCAGCTCTACAGTCGAATCGAATAAATAATTTCTGATATACAGTAGGCCAGGAAATATATAGTGCTAATGCTTTAAAAAAATAGAGATGTGAATATTTTTTGATCGGGTGTCAGTTTTTTTCTCAGAAATATTTGCCATGAACTCGCTCTATATCACAAGAAACGTTTTTCGAACAAATTTGTTTTTTTACCCTTGGAAACCTATAGAAACTTCAGCAACCCTGAAGCTCTTATATTGCTATTTGTCAGCAAGTAATTCCAATGGTTCGATCGCAGTAGAACAATAGAACAAAACTATCTTATGAGACATCTTATATAATAACTAAGCTGAATACGGTTAAATACAGACACCCAAAAGGATTAGGTTGGCATCGTGCCGGTCTACTTTGCTGTACACGCAGACTGTTATAATTGACCGTGACAGTTACGGTCTAAGCTCACGGGAGAACTCAGGTGACATGGTAACGTTCGCTGCAGCAGTTGTAGTATAGTATAGTATCTTCGGCATTAAAGAATAGGCCTGGATAGGCCTGTCGCCGATTCTTGTGCTTTTCTTGACTAGACTGGCCTTTTGATCAGATCTTTTCAACGGACGGTAGATTAAAAATCGCTTCTAGATATCAGTTGTTCCGTAGGATACGAGGCATTTTAAGACTAAACATATGCTCATGCATGGCCTTGTCTAGTCTGTTCTTGAACGCGTTCATACTCGGAGCGTCAACAATATCTTCAGGGAGGCTGTTCCACATGTCGGTGTACACAGTTTTAATGAACATCTAATGGAACGCCTGCACGTCAATAACGCCCACTCAGCCCAACTTGCTTATTTCAGGGCGTGATGTTGAATGGAAGTGTGTATGAGTTGGTGGTTGTTTCTTAAATTCTGGCGAACTCATGGACAAAAGTCAATTTATGTCGGTCGTAATTTCGTCTTACGAACGCGATTTTTTTGAGAGCAGCGCATAATAGCGTGGCATAGCAAGTCACTTCTGTAATCAGCAGCGTTGAAAGATGTTCTTGAACGTTTTACACTTCAATCTCATAGTAATAGAAACCAAATTTATTCCCCATTGTTGACAATTACAATTATATAATTGCTGTGGAACTCAAAGTCATTCGGTATGTTCTTTGACTTTGTATCTGTGTCCTTGATGAATTTCATCAAATTGGATCATATTTATGGTTCCGTAAGAATGTGCTCAGGAAAGATATATTCTACAGTTGAAGAGTAGATATGATGTTGTTTCCCCCATGTTTATGTTCTTGTTTGTGATGATACAAGATACGATGATGATACAAGATACGATGTTGATACAAGATACGATGTTGATACAAGATACGATGTTGATACAAGATATGTTGTTGGTTCCTCCATGTTTATGTTCTTGTCTGTTTGACACATGAGATGCAAGGATGGGTATTTTGAACTAGTATAAGGTTGACCCATCAGAAGCCCTTTTTGCGGATGTAGTTCGTTGTTCGCCTGTGACGTCACTGATCTCAGTGACGTCACGGGCATTAACCAATCACCGAAATGCGATCAAACCAGTCAACCAATCCGTCATGGGAATGACGGGTTTGTTTACGTTTCTTGATCTCAGTGACATTACAAGAAAGCTGAACTGTAAGACGAAACTTCTCGTGGGTGAAACTTATATTTATATAGTTCAACAATGGGTATGTTGTTACTTCTCAGCAAATTGGGTATGAAATGAATCATTTAGATTTTAGAGTAAAAAATCAAGGTGTGATTATCAGAAAGTACAACACTTGGTATATAAAAAACTGTGCATAAAATTAATATGCAATGATGAAAACAATTCATAATATCAAAGCTGTCATAAAAGAAAAATATTCAGTTAACGACATGGAATTTTAACGCTGTTGTACGATACCGATAAGTCCCTCAAATTTTACTTGAAAAATGAAGAGATACATGAGAACGCTTCAAGCTTTACTCAGAAACAAACTAACTCAAATGTTTCAACTGGAACTAATAATTTGGCGAAAAATGTCAAAACGTTTCTCGGTACTCTCTGCGGCAATGGCAATATAAACCTGTTAACAAAACCCACTGAGATTTAGAGGGCATGATAAATGTGATCTTGTTTATTTGTATGAACATCATTAATATTTTCGTACTTAAACAAAGTAATCACTTTATTTAATCCTGCTACATTGATTACTTAGTGTCATGGGTTGTTGCTGGAATGACGAGCCTGATAATTTCAATAGATATTATTGAAGTTTCGTACCAAGCCTCGTGCTACGAACTCTTCCTCGGCTGCGAACCCCTAGTCCTCATAACCTGCTTAGCGTTCGTGTAGATCGCCACTGTGTGCAGCCGTGTTCCCGGTTCTCGTTCGGCTGCCTCAACATCCGTTCGCTGAGTAACAAGGTTGATGAGTTTCTTCACATTCTTCACACTTGTCGCTCGCACTCACTAGATGTCGCCTTCCTTACCGAGACCTGGCACGACGCTGACTCCATGGTTAAATTAATACTAATTAATATTAATTCAACCATGGCTGACTCGGTTTGCATCGCGCGTCTTCGCGCTGAAGGACTCAAGGTAGTCGAGCGCGCGCAGCAACGTATGTAACCCGACGCACTGGCGTTGAGTTACTGTAGTTACCGTCGCCAGCAGGGGCGTGCACCTTGCTGTTCATGACATCGTCGCCCGACCCACCACATTTGAGCAGCTATGTGCTAGGGTCACCTCTGCTTCTTTTACGGGCTTTGCAGCCACCATCTACCGCCCTGGATTGGTTGCTGTGTCGCGCGATTTTTTCGTCTAATTGAGCGATGTCTCCCCCAGACTTGTGATTTTGCCCGATCATTTCTTTATCATCAGCGATTTGAACGTTTGACTGGATCGCGTCGAAGACCCATCGGGTCGTCAGTTGAACGACCTTCTGGCCATCTTTGGTATGGTTTGTCACGTGACTGCCGACGTACGACATGGGCGGAGTGCTGGACGTTGTCATCACGCCTGTTGACCTTCAAAGTCTGCCATGCGCCATCATCGAGATCGCAATATCCGACCATCGACTACTTCAGTGGACGGTGCCATGTGTGCGCCCGGCGCCAGCGTACAAAACCGTTATTTGTCGACCATGACGCGTCCTCGACGTCGATGTCTTGCGCGAAAAGCTGCAGTCGTCCCGACTATGTCGGCCTGACTCATGGTTGGCACTATCAGTCAACAACCTCGTGCAACTCTACAACACCGAGCTGACCGGTGCACTCAACCTCATTCCTGCACGCACAGTTCGGGTACCTCAACGAGTCTCCGACCCATGGCTTGACGATGAATGTCGATTCTCGGAGCGGGGGGATTCGACTGCTTCAGCGGGCTGTCTACAGGGCGAACACACTCGGCAATCATGTTGCTCCCGCTGCTGTGGCCTCCATCAGGCGAGATCAGTAGCGCAATTATGTCGCCTTTCTTCGTTCTAAAAGAGAGTCATATTGGCGCCAGAGATCGACGCACAACGCAGCGATCCTCGGGTGATGTGTGCGTGGAGGAATTCCATGTGGTTTTTGGAAACAAATTTTCTACTATGCGAGCGTCGTCGGCCGATGCTCCGCAGGCAGCATTTGCGTCGTGTCCGTTTGGCTGCGGGCTTCAAGAATTCACTCGCGTCACAGTTGACGACGTCATCGCTGCAGTGCGTGCGCTGCCTAACAAGCAGTGTGCCAGGGATACGCTGCCGACGTCGTTACTTAAGCACCGCAATATTGGAGCTGTAAGTTGCGTGTTCGAGACCGCAACACGAGGAGCATATTCCGAGCCTAATTAACGCTGCCGTCTCTCTCCTATACTAGCACGCGTCTGCAGTTGGTATAGAACAGCGCCCTTCTTCAGTAATTGGCTTGCCCACTAGCCGATGCCAATATATCTGAGATTTACATGCTAATGTCTATAAGTTGAAGAGAAAAGAGGAATGAGACCTAATTTGCTCTCGGATGAAGACAGGTTTAGTGGTATCAGCGGTGTTATCGATCACAAGGTATGAAATTCAGGAAGCCACTATTTTAATAATAATATAATAATAATAGCGGTTTCAGCGTTTATTAGGCCGTAGGCCTGTCGCCGATTCTAAACATCGCAGAACATTCACAGCATTTTGCGGTCTCGAACTCACAACTCACTGCTAAAATTCTGCTGTGTAACCGCCCGGCTGGGATCGAACCCGCACCTCTCTGCTTCAATCTTGGTACTCTGAACTGCAACCACTGGGCCACCCTGTTTTAACAATGCACTCACATTTTTTTAGAACTCTTTAAACAATTATATTTCAATTCATTTCTTATAACTCCATGGCTGATTCTAAGTAAGTAGCACAAACTTAATCGTATATTGTCTCAAAACACTTTCGTCATGTAATGTGAGTATTAAGGTGAATTCAAATTGTGTACAAAGACAATTTATACTATTGAATTATCGACTCGAAAAAAATGCAGTCATCTTCGTCTCCATGTGCACAATAAGGACTTATTAATGAGGACTTAAAATGACGATTATGCACAAAAATATTTTAGAAAACGTGGATATTCTGCTGCCAAACGGGAGATTGCGATTTATTTGAGGTTATGGGCCTATACTTTCAAAAAAAGTTAAGAGGTCGTAAGTTCATCAGCCAATCATTGACGGCCTTTCAAGCAAAATCCACCAATCATAGACAAGAAAATAGAGCGTAAGTACTTACGTTCACTTAGCCAGGTTTGAAAGTATGGCCCCTGAAGAGGTCTCGTACTTTAAGCTTGAGCTAAACTCATGAATGATGAGGATAAAGTGCAAATACAGTTTTAATTATTGAAAACTTTTTAAAACAATAGCTGGACTGTTAATATTTACATGATTCCTTACAATAACATAACAAGGGGATTATTAAATTGATTCATTAAAGGTTGGAACTTAACTTCAGGCAACATAATAAATAAATAATTACACAATTGTAAATAACTAACGTGTAGTGAGATTGGCTCATAATTTATAGCCAGAGTGTATAGCCGTAATGCCGAATGTGAGATCTTCGTAACGAACACGTCGGAACCCAGCGTCTTCAATCATCAGCGCAAACGTTTTCTGAAATAAAATATTGTTAATTAGTACATGTGATTAGCGTCACTTAGTGTAGAAGCTACAAGTGGATCACAGTATATTGTAGCGCTCCTACTGGCCCATGGCCCAGTCTTGTAGCGCTCCTACTGGCCCAAAAATTGTTGTCTTTCAATATCTCTGCAAATTAAAATGGCCATACCTCCCCTTAATGCATTTTCCCAATGTGACCATAAAGTGTAATACCCAACAAAAGATGGTTCATGAACTCTTACCCATGTAACCATGTTTCACAGAGATAGACCACATCTGGCTTTTCTTTGCACAGATAAAGTTTAATTTCTGCAAGTTTTCCATATAATCCATGACAATTTAATAGCACTATTTCCATACCCAATTCTCTTCTGTAATAGCAAGTTAACTGCTGGGATTTTAATGTACCATAGCTCATAGTTATTGTGCTGAACTGCTTACAATCTTGCCTTTGCCCCTCCCTTTGTTACAACACTGTTACAACACAAGTCAACTGTGAGAAAGACAGCCCAGATGGAGAGGTCAAATTTTCAACAGATGCTTGAGCAGCTTGGCAAGCGGTATTCTTGGGCTACAGGGTGCAAGGGTGGAGTTAGCCTCTTACCATTGTGGCAATCCCAGTTGATGTTCCTCAATCCCAAGGCAGCTGCTCAGGTGACCATACCAAGCTGTCTCAGTCTCTTGTGGGTCAACAGGCTCAATCTGGTTCCACAGTTGTTGCTGCAGAAAGGCAGGGGAGTGAGTCTCAGTGAGAGTGCCAATGCAGACTTAAAGGGATCATGAAGGAGGAGCTGGCTTCTAGTGAGAAGGAACTGGATGATATTATTTGTGCATAACTTATTGTGTTTTCTCTTAAATTTGGTCAATTTATGAATGAAGTGTTCAAGCTGAATCTACTGAGTGAGGGTATAGAGGAGAGATCCCTGCTCCTCATTAGTCTCCTGAGAAATGCCTTTGGACAGGAAATTAGTGATACTCTGCAGACTGCAGAGTATCAGGGAGTGGTTACCTGCAGGGAGTGGTTACCTGCAAACAAGAATGCATCTGGCAAGGAACTTGAAGGAAGGATTCATGGTAGGAGTGATGACCAAATTTTGAGTTCTTCCGGTCAAGTTCTTCGGGAAGCTCAGCTCATGGTCAACTCAGCCATTCATCCAACTCTGGTTGATAAATGAGTACCTGGCTTGTCCAGGGTGTTGTGTAATGCAATAAAATGGTTCTGGCAGGTTAGCAAGCCAGTGATGGTCGTAGAACAACCAGTGGTACCAAGTGCCCAGAAAAACTGACCTATCACCCCCCCTCCCTAGTCGCCACTACCAGGATGGGCAATTACAACAACAACAACCAAGTTTTGAGAGTGTCTCCTGAGGTCTGTCTCCAGTTCTCCACACCCACTGTAGCAACAAACAGCCCACTTTCCAATCATAGAGACATCAAGATAATTAGCAATGTTTTGATCAATGAAAGAAGCAAGAATTTGACAGCAGAACAATCAATTGGTGGCGTAGATTTAGATGCCCAGACAAGTCAACTGCTACAAATGGTGATTGGTGAGTTTTAAATTCCTAGTGCCAAGCCAATTGGGTCTTTTAGAAAAGATACAGCACTTGGATTTTAGACTCTGTGCCAGTCTGTGGTTTCATCAGGATTGTCAGTCCACTACCTGAACTTTGCAGAGTGAATTAGTTGCCACTTGCCAGCTTCACATTCTTCAAATTGATCCACTGTGCAGAGAGTGGATGAATATTGCAAGATCTTTGGCGACGCTTCAGTAGCCAAATTTTTGCCTTCAGAACTGAAGATCTTGCCGACACACTTAGATTGAAATTCTTGCATTTAATATATTTCTCAGTCTTCGGCCAACTATTTAGAAAAAAAGTAAGGTTTCCGGCACGACGGTACGTTGGATGGATTACGATGCAGCGAAGCTTGTCCGGAAATCAGTTGCGATGAGTTCCCGCAAAAATGTAAACAACATTTTTTTGATTGCGTAGTTTCAGTCACATTAGAGCGGTCAGACTGCTTTATTACATGTTCAGTTGACACTTGCTGTACAATCGGACTGTTTTTAGGGTAAAATTAGTTATTTGGGGTAACACGTGCATGCAACCTTGTAAATAAGTTTGTGGCTTGTAAATAGTTTGTCATTACTCAGCGTAAATGGCTTTTCATTAAAAATTACCCGGAGCCGGAGACGCATCTTTAAAATGGCCGATGACGCTTTGGGCTTAAAAATCCATATATTGGCAACGCTGCATCCACTCTCTGCATAGTGGAAATTGATAGGGTTAGGGACTTTTTATTGGTACTCTATTGCTATGCATTGTTGGGCGCTTAGCCTTAGAACCACCAATGCTCTCACTTGAGCCCATAGTGACAAACCAGAGATTTTTTAGAATCAGTTCATTTCTAATTTCCTCATTTACTCAAGACTTAAACCAATTTCTTATGTAAGGTAATGCTGGTATCCATGATACTTTACTGGTCTACTTATAGGACTCAAAAATGAACTTGAGGGAGAGTCTAAAAAAACTCTCTGCTTTGCCACTATGCTTGAGCCATTTGTCTCCCTATCTCTGCATTTTTGTCCTAGCTGACGGTGCAAAGAGTTTTTTAGACTCTCCCTCAAGTTCATTTTTGAGTCCTATAGGTAGACCAGTAAAGTATCATGGATACCAATCAAAGGCAATCATACCACACCAGCATTATCATACATAAGAAATTGGTTTAGATCTTGAAAAACTGAGGAAATTAAAAATGAACTTATTCTACAAAATCTCTGCTTTGCCACTATGAAGCTTGACCAGCCACAGACTCCTCCAGTCAATCCAGTGCCTCCACCACCACATTGTCAGAAGATGCTGCCTCAGCCCAAGGACAAGGAGCCCAGCCCTGACGCTCACCAGCATCTTCTTCCTCCACACTTACCCCCTTCTCTCCACCTTTCTGCAAAAGGGTTAGGTTAGGTTTGGTTAGAATTCTTCCGCAAGCTGGTACCGAAAGGAGAGGGAGCAGGGGGTAAGCGTGGAGGTTTAGCCTCCAGAAGAACGGACAGGCTGGAGAGCCTGGAGAGGTAGCAGTGTACTGATAGCACTGTGGCGCAGGGCGTTCTTTGTTGAAAGTGGAGAAGGGGCTAGGCTGCATGGATTAGATATATGTTGGGGTTTAGCGTGTGGGTTACGACCATTGTATTTGCGGCCTGCAGCTCATTGGCTCGCTGGTTTACATCCATGAAGGGGTTTGGTCCCAGGTCCCTGTGGCTTTCAGCAAGTAATCATCATAAATCATGTTGGGTAATTTGCTCTGCAGCATGCTTGCGCACGGGGAGAAGTATGAAAATTATGCTGGTATTGGGCAAGGCTGGGCCATTTCAGTCGTCCGGCCTGCTGAAGACTTGTCTTGTCTTCTTGGTGAGTTATCGGTGTGCTGCGCGTTTCAACGATTCACACCGCAAGCTTCACACCGAAGACCACAACTGCCACAGAATAGCACAGATGTGCCTTCCGGAACGTAGCCTTCAACACTTCAAGCCGTCCGTATCTAGGCCGTGGGTCGAACCAGCCCTCGGTCGAACGGCCACTAGTCGAAGGACGATCAATTTTGGAACAGAACTATGCTTTCTGAAACCTAACCTCAGATGCGGTGAACGTAAAATTACGTAATTTAACGATGCCCGGAAGTCAAATTCGATCCGCGGCCTGGTGGTGCACGGCAGGTGGTGGTCAAGGCCGGAGGAGGAGAGAGCCGAGTGGTGCACGGCTGATTGGTGGATATCCGGAGAGATCCAAGGCGTTCGATTCAGGGCTTATTGGTGCACAAAATTGGTGGTGCACGGCTGCGCTCCCACTGGCGGGCACGAACGGGAAGATTGGTTCACTGCGCCCGCACCCGCATCAGTGCGACGTTGAGAGTTGTTGTGTAAGGGTGTGCACGGTGGAGGCATGCGATAGCACGACAGCAGTGCGCGCTACAGTGGGCAAGAGAGTGCGGTCAGTATGACGACGGCTGGGTCGTTACTGAGCACACTAGACTTCTGACAAGCTGGCAACTACTGCAATGCTCCGTTCAGCTAGGGTGCAAACAATTGAATTGTTCTTTAAATCTTCTCGAACTTGTGTTAGGCATTTTACTCTCCATGGCTTGTGAATATATACATAAGCTGTACTAGAGGATACATTATAAATACATAGAATAGAAGTGTCGGCACTGAAGAAATATGCCCATGGCCTGTTGCCGATTCTTCTATTTTTCGTGACTTGATTCACAAGGGATCCGGCCTTTGGAACCCGATCTGTTCCATGTTAGAGACTGCATGTAATGTAAGCAATTATGTACTTACATACGTTCTTACACGAGCAAGATCGTTTATATAGCAAGCGAAATATGGTAGTGAGTGGCAAGCGGCCTATCGTTCGTGTACGGCCTTAAAGTACCGTGCGAATTATCGCCGATGGCAGCGGTGAGGCCCGTCCATCGCCTCACGACGGACGTGTCCTGTGCAACAGTATTTATTTTCTTTTCTTTAGTATTGAGTTTATGTGTATTTTTTTCTTCATGCACCTAGTGGCAACACTCTAGAAACCGTTCATTAACCGCTACGTCTTGCACGTCAGTTCCTTATCTCAACTCACGCGACGACTGGTCATTTGCTGTCATGCCTTTTCCAGTATTCCATATTTAGTAATTTGAAATATTACTCGATCATTATCGTGACTGTTACATGTATATTTATGTTCATTTATTTCGTCATTTTCTTTGCACGCAGATTAAAGTCACATATGGTCACCTGTAAAACATTAGACAACCACTAACAAAAGCTACAAGAATAAATATGGCACAAGCTTCCATAAAATTGCGCTACACTTTAACTAAAACAGCAAGAAACACAAGTGGAATTTTGCCTTGTGTGAAAGTAAATGCAAATATCAAATGACTGTTTTTAAAGTAAATGTATTTTTTATCAGCTAACCCTAGAGATCACTAAAGTCAAGGCTGTTTCTTCTAGCAGCTATGAACAAAACTGAATCAGTAACTCAACTTTGATCTATAGTATATAGTCTCAATGTATGATTAATATATATAATATATAAATGGGTTATATATTAATATATATTTATATATTAATTTATATATTAATATATAAATGGGTTATAGGAACAGGAGTTTTTTTTTGTGGGTCTCAATTTATGAACAAAGTAAAGGCTGCAGCATGTACATTTTACAATAAATAATGTCATTACTTATTTTCATTAGTTATCAGTAAATTTCCAAGCCAATAAAAATACAAGTCTACAAATATCTCATATAAAAAAGCATGCAATCACATTAGAAGGCGAAATATTAAGACCAAGATTCATGCAAAAAGATGGAAGAGGTCAAGAAAGAAATAGAAGGCAAAGAGTATATAAAAAATGTGATGGAAAGACATTACCAAAGATGGAAGAGGTCAAGAAAGAAATAGAAGGCAAAGAGTATATAAAAAATGTGATGGAAAGACATTACCAAAGATGGAAGAGGTCAAGAAAGAAATAGAAGGCAAAGAGTATATAAAAAATGTGATGGAAAGACATTACCAAAGATGGAAGAGGTCAAGAAAGAAATAGAAGGCAAAGAGTATATAAAAAATGTGATGGAAAGACATTACCAAAGATGGAAGAGGTCAAGAAAGAAATAGAAGGCAAAGAGTATATAAAAAATGTGATGGAAAGACATTACCAAAGATGGAAGAGGTCAAGAAAGAAATAGAAGGCAAAGAGTATATAAAAAATGTGATGGAAAGACATTACCAAAGATGGAAGAGGTCAAGAAAGAAATAGAAGGCAAAGAGTATATAAAAAATGTGATGGAANCTAATAAAAAGGCCCACAGGCAAGCTGGCATTTTAATAGCTCTAATAAAAAGGCCCACAGGCAAGCTGGTTTCCAAAAATTTTCTCAGAAATCTCTGATGATGTACCTAAAGAGTTATTTATATCAACTGTCAGTCAACTTAACTCTTCATATATATGTAAATATAAGGCATCTTATGAATATTTAATTCAAGAATAAAATGAATGATTTCATGTTTTCAATATAGCTGATTACTTTTTCAGAGCATCAGCACACATTGCCAAACTGACCAAGCAAAAGCATGCAATTTGATGGATGCATGAACACACAACTATCCTTGTAGGATGATAACTAAAAATTAATGTTACTTATGTCTCACCAAAGCTAATATTCTACAATAACAATACAATGCAACAAAATTGATGGACGCATGAACACACAAAACAATCCTTGTAGAATGATAACTAAAAATTAATGTTACTTATGTCTCGCCAAGGCTAATATTCTACAATAACAATACAATGCAACAAAATATTCCCATTTTCTTTCATGCTAGAGTGATCTTTTCAATCAAACATATTTAAAGATGCCAGATAACACAGAAAAAAGTAAATTACACCAATAACTAAGAATAAATGAGGCTCACCTGTGCCACCAGCCACATCTAGAAGCTTAGCCTGGGGCACGGGCGCCACTTGCTTAACAAAATAGTCCTTCCACAGGCGATGGATGCCACCAGACATGAGGTCGTTCATCAGGTCATATTTTGCAGCAACAGATGCAAACACTTCACGAACTGAAATAAAAATAGATAGGTATTTAATATCATATTTTAGGTGTCATTAAGATGATATTACAGTAATGTTGACCATTCATCAGGTCATATTTTGCAGCAACAGACACGAACACTTCACAAACTGAAATAAAAATAGATATTTAATATCATTTTTTAAGTGTCATTAAGATAATAGTACAAGTACAGTAATGTTAACAATTCATCGGGTCATTTTTTTGCAGCAACAGATGCGAACACTTCACGGACTGAAATAAAAATGGATATATAATATCATCTTTTAGGTGTCATTAAGATGATAGTACAGTAATGTTGACCGTTCATCAGGTCATATTTTGCAGCAACAGATGCGAACACTTCACGAACTGAAATAAAAATGGATATATAATATCATCTTTTAGGTGTCATTAAGATGATAGTACAGTAATGTTGACCATTCATCAGGTCATATTTTGCAGCAACACTTGCAAACACTTCACGAACTGAAATAAAAATAGATACTTAATATCATATTTTAGGTGTCATTAAGATAATAGTACAGTAATGTTGACTAGCAATGTTTCTCCTAAGGAATTGAAGAAGGCATTAGGCATTCTCTTGGAATGATAGAAATTAATATTGCTACCTACAACATTGTTCAGGATTTTGACCACTATCCATTTGGGAAATGTGGTCATAAGTTGATAGAGGTCACAAACTAAATGAGTTAATCCCATCAATAAACACTGTGAGAGTATAATACCATAAAACTTTTTGTTTCAAAGCCTCAGAAATGCATTTTAAGCTTTGTTCTTACAAATAAATGCTTTTCAACATAATTTATTATTCACGGCCTCTTCTCACTTATTGGTGTCACATCACTTGCAACATTAGTTCCCTCTAAAAAATCTTTGTAAAAGAGTTGAAATACGGTAGTCAATTCTATCATGCAGTAGGTACTGTACAGAGATGTTGGGGGAGATGAGTTTGCATTTTTCATCTTTGGTCATTATTTCATTCTTGTGTTGAATAGGTATAGTTACCCGTAATCTTAGCATTCTTCATTTCTTAAAATGCATTTGCCTTGTAGGCTTTCTTTGAAACCTTTTCTTATTGTTTAGACAAGGATAATAATGAACAAATGTAAATTGAAGAATAGATGAAGTACTGAGAGAATAATCTCCTTCTTATAGTGATCAAGCTGCGCAAACATGGATAACATGAATAATATACTCAAGAATACATGAATAATACCACTAATTACATGAATAAATACTCACTAAACAAGTTTCAAACAGGTGTTTGACTTTTAAATTTTTTATTGAATTTCATGCATCAATTTTCTTAAAATTCTTGGTCTGACACTAATTTGTTCAATCTCAAAGGCATTCCACAATGAGGTTCCATAATGATTTTATTATATATCAACAGTTTGTAAATTCACTGACAAATTCAATAGCTTGCATGATTTTCGATGTACTTTGAGGAGAGAGTCTGCGGCATTCACACAGTAAAAATCTCATGATTTCCCCATGACCAATGTAGTGTCTTTTCAATGCAATTAATTTAACTGTGGTAACACCAAAAAAAGTTTACACATTAATCAACTTTATTCATGAATTGCACTTCTCTGTATACCACAAGCATATGTATTAGCTGAGTGTCCAATTTCAGAAAACCCTGCTGGCTTTCTTGTCTCTCCCAAGCTCTCTTCTCTACACAAGAAGACGTACCTACTTTGAATTTGAGGCATCTAGCTAAGGAAATGATTTGATGACTTTTTAAGTAGTTTCATAACATCTTGGAATAAGAGATCAATGGTCAGCCCTGGAGTGATGACATAGTTTTGCATTTTAAGAAATCAATAATTAAACAGCTCTAAAATATAGCCCAAGTCTCAAATAATCCTTCTTCTTGAAAACTTCTTGAATACACAATTATTGTAGGTATGTTTGAGATAAGAAATTATAATGAAGAAAATGCAAATCTTAGCCATACTTAGAAAGATGGCACACCAAAATAAACATTTAATCAAAATTTACATAAATATATAAATTACACTGACAACTTCCTATCTTCATGATGCAAATTCCAGTGCACCATGTGCATTTACACCACTATGCCCTCCACCAATAAAATAGGTTGCATGATAACATCAACTAGCAAAATACAAAGCTGTTTTGTTCATGTCAAACTAATAGTAGACAGACATGGAATAAGTACCTACATGTACCTAACAAACTGCAACTAGAGCATTCCTGTCATTTTAGGAGCTGCAAGATTCCCCCTAGATGAATAACATCCTAGATAAATGTTGATAAAAGTGCACAATTGAGCTTCAAGATTCCAAATGTATTGACAATTTTCCACTCTGAAACTGTAATATTTATGTGACAAGTAGAAAAATTTCAATCCTGCTTGTATACTTCTTCTAATTTTGTCTCCAATACCAGTACATACCTTTTTCAGATTTTTCCTCTTCAGACACATCTTGATATCCAAAATGGGTAGTCTTGTGCCTACTTTGATATAAAGCTCTAATTGAGGGCCTGGTAGAAATTAATATATCTTTTGAAACTAAACCAAACTGTGACATATTGCACTGAAACAACAAGGATTTAAAGAGTTTATTAAAGGAGTAAATTAAAGGTTAAATTGTCATAATGGCATCCAAATGTTATTTTTTGTCTTTCAGTAATATTAAAGAAATGCAAAATCAGAATAAATAGACAACTACTTTCTGAAAATATAAGCAAATTGAATCAATTCTCAACCACTAGTAATGCAGTTCACTTTAAGGTGGCTGAAATGGCCCTCAACAGGGCGGACAGGGCACTTGTTGCACCTGGATTCATCAAGAGATTTTCAACAGGTTACTGATTTAGAAGTATACAGTTCAAGGCAGCCTTGACATGCTCCAGAGATTACTCAGGCATCCTGTTCTCTTGATGCATGCAAACATTACTTTTGCAATGGCAAACTGGGTGTTTTACAATGCCAAGTCAATTCCACCGAGCAAGTTTGGCACTGTAAGGGGGCTGACCCTATAGGGGTCCACAGCAATTTCAAGTGTTATTTGGGCTTCAAGGTGTAGTCTACAATCAAGAACGAAGTGTTCAATGGTGTCCTCCACGTTACAGTAGTCACACATTCGAGAGGGTGACATACCAAATCAAAATAGATGGGCACCCAGGCCTGCACAGCCTAGGCGGAGACAAGCCAGGCTGACAGCAGCTCTACGAGTTGGGGCAGCCATGTGAGCCACCCATGGAACTGGGGACAGTTTGCTGTGTATTGTGGTCAAGTAGACAACCTTCCCAGTTGCCCTTACATTGGTTGTCCAAGAGTCTAACCAGCGCACATGTAGTCAGTCCCCTTTGCAGGCATCTCAGCCGATCTGATAGTCTAACATGCACCTGATGCAAGAATACACAAGTCAAGTGAGTGACCCAGCTGTGCAACCCTGTCAGCCATCTCATTGCTATGAATGCCAGCATGGCCTTCAACTCACTGCAGGGTGACAGGCTGACAGCCATCTAGGTGCTAAGTGCAGGGCTAGTAGGTACTCTCAGATCTTGTATACTATGAGTGTGCAACAGGACAAGAGCTTGTGGTTTTAATGAGTTGCAGTGCTGACACAGAGTCAGAGCAACACCACCCACCATCCCAATGCCTTCTCAAAATATGACAAGCGCCTAAGAGATAGCATATATTTTGTCACAAAGTACGCTATGCATTGGATAGAGGAGCCAGGCGATGGCCCGTGCTTCATCTGTATAAATACTCCCTGGGCTGTGGATGAGCTGTCTCCCAGCCATGAGCATCATGAAAAACTTTTGGTGATTTGGGTAGTTTTCTTTCATGTCTACCCCAAATTATGATGATGATTGATGATGTCTTTTTTTTAGGTGCTGTAAATGACCTGAAACAGGTCAGTTGTCACACCTACTGGACATGACGTTTTTAGCGCTTCTTTTCAAGTTCCCTCAGCCATCACTGGTTTCTATCAATTGAAGAGCAAACAACTTGGCAGGGCCTTAGCTTCACAAGGTCCCCATTTGGCCAGTACTTGTGAGGAAGGTTATTAAGGTCTTGATCACAAGGTGCTGTTCCTGTATTGCAATATTGCTCCTGCTCCAAGCAAAGTTTACACCGTCAGTGTTTGTTCTCATAAGTTGGTAAGCATTATTATACCTAAATGTCAGGCATATTCAAGCAGGAAGTTGTCAATGGTTTCATCAACATTGTAGGTGTTACACAGTGGAGAGTCAACCATTGAGAAGAGATGCAGATAGGCATTTACCCAAGTTCATCTATCAGAGGCTAGCGTGTGCAGGCTGCAGACTTCTGTGGACCAGCAAGACGCCTCTTCCTTTTCCACTCATCCACATTGTGTAACCAGTCTCTTACCACTGAGACAAAGACTGGTGGCAGAGGCAACAGAGAGCATCAGAATTCTCAACAACATTATATGTGTTGTGATTGAGTTGATGTCCCAACTTTGCTGCTTGGTCTGCCTACTCATTCCCAAGTATTCCAGCATGGGCTTTTACCCAATGTAGTAGGTAGTACTTGTCTATTGAGTTTAAGTACCGGTATCCAAATAAGTCTTTGAATTTGTTGGACCAGTAAGGAGCACTTTGAAGTCTTGCTGTGACCTGTGTGGTGAGCACAGGACTTGGCAGTAGAAGCAGCAATGATCGAGAGTTGGTACAGAAAACCCAGTTAGAGTTGTAGGTGCAGGCCATCATTATGGTGTTAATCACTTGCTAGTAGTCTCAGTTTAGTTTATTATGTAGTGTAACTCATTTTCAGGCTTTATTGTTTCAAGAGAGATATAATCAAGTGGCAGAGTGAACAGTTTCAACCTCTTTTATAGCTGCTGATTCAGCCAATCCACCAATGAAGATATGTGTAAGTCCTTCAGCTAGCCCAATCTCAAATCATAACTGATCAATCTGTTTGCATTCATATGTTTGGTTTTTCTTAGTGCAATAACCCTTGCTCCCTCTTTTTCTCCTTTGTGCTTTGACAGTTAGAGAACTTGAAATGTGTTGTTCCAAAGGCTATATACGTTACTAGCATTCTGAAGCATTTCACAAGGGTTGACCTGGCAAGTCCCCCCATCACCACTTGTGTGGGAGAAGAATGATTGTTTTGGGACAAACATTAGTTTGGCTAATGACCATCAATCGTCCATGAATAGCCTAATTTGGATTGATATATAATACACATCTGGCTTGATCAATACCGTCAAACGGGGTAAATCGGGACGCGCATTTCACATTTCGTAGAAATAATGTAGCAGCTAAACTAATCAAAATATTGCAAAACTAAAAATAGTGGCGTAAACTTCAACATTTGTACTACCCGGTATCTATCATGTATAAATCTAGTCAAGAAATCAAACATTTACTATCTCTAAAAAATCACTGAAAAAAGTGTGAAAAGTGCGATTTTGGAAAAGTACCTCTGCTAAGGTCTGGAGCATAAAAAAAGATTCGCTATATTAAAAAAATTTACTTACATTAAAGTTGCACCTAGGTGTCTGCTTGAAAACGTAATTGACGGAATTTGCCTATCATTCAAAAAAAAATGGCAGCCATTTCCGAACGATGGGGTAAAAAGGGACACCCCCCAGGGTAATTAGGGACACCCTTAAAAATGCATCTACAGTAGAACCTCAGTTAGCAAAGGTTCCAGTTAACAAAAAAATTGATTAACAACAAAGAATTTTGATTACATTTACCTCGCTCAGCAAAAAAATTCACTTATCAAAAAATTAGTGCATCATTGGTCATCACAAAATTGTACATAGAATGCTACCGTCAACTGGGGCTACTCGGGACAAGCGGGGCTACTCGGGACAGGCCTCCGACATGTTGTAAAACTGTTGTAGTAGCGAAACTAATTGGAATATTGCAAAACTAAAAATAGTGGCGTAAACATCAACATTTTTCCTATCTATTTAGTATAAAGGAAGTCGAAAAATACTACATTTACTTGCTTTGAAAAATACCTGAAAAAATGGTGAAAAACTATATTTTGTAAAGTTACAACTGCTAGGGTATACAGCAAAAAAAAATTATTCGCCGTATTAAAAAATTTTACCTACATAAAAGTTGCACCCAGGTGTCGGCTTGAAAACGTAATTGACAGAATTTGCCTAACTCATTCCAAAAAGAAATGGCAGCCATTTCCGCACAGCGGGGCTAATCGGGACACCCCCCCGGGGCTATTTGGGACACCCCCAGAAACGCATTTACGGTAGAACCTCAGTTAGCAAAGGCTCCAGTTAAGAAAAAAATTGAATAAAAACAAAGAATATTGATTACATTTACCTCGCTGAGGGAAAAAAAGTTCACTTTTCACAGAAAATGTCATTTATTCTACCTCTACATCATCTACAATGAAAGAGGAGGACTTCAGAGTACTGTTAGTAATGGATGAGTATGCTCTGCATGCTTCAAATGTTTTGAAATGAAGTTTTATTCCCATTGTCCCGAGTAGCCCCGACCGATGGGGCTACTTGGGACAATCTTTATTTTGCGTCTGGCACCTTACAAATAGCATATGGAATTTTTTGAAGATGCCATTCGATAGCCCTCGCAAAGAGCTATAAAATGAGACTAAACTTGTTTATGAAATGTTTCATGGTAAGAAGTTATTAACAAAAAACGCTCAAAACTGTCCCAAGTAGCCCCAGTTGATGGTAGTGAAGCAGCTTTCAAGATGGCATTTGATAAATAAGTACCGGTACTACCACTGTCTGCATCCCTAGTACCACTCTCAGAGGAGATCAGTGCATCATCAAGGGCTTGTTGATAGAGGGTCCTATTGGCTTCATATAATTTCTATCTAACTGGGAAATTTTCAGAAGATTTAACAAGCATGGTTCCAACCTTACAACAGATTGAGAAATGATCACTGCCTAAGTCTAGCCCTCTTGTTAAGATAGCTCTTTATCAATTATCTATGGCCCTTTTGTTAAAATGGCTCTTCAGCAATTATTTATGTAAGTGAGGAAGCTACCATCATTCAAGAGACAAATGGGGCGGGCTTGAAGAGCTGCTTCTATGGATTTCCCAGTAAAATTTTACCCACCCCGAGCATCTCACAAAGGCCAATGAGCATTAAAATCTCCCACTGCAACAAAATTTGGCCAAGCTTAGATAAATAGTAGTTAACTTCCTCAAAACTCACATTCCTGCCAGGGTCAAAAAAATTTCTAATTGCAATCCAGCCAAGAGCAGTAGCAACTTAAACCGATTGAAATTCAAGATTAGCACCTCTAGGGAATTGTGGAAGATTAAATTGTTGTCTTTCAATATCTCTGCAAATTAAAATGGCCATACCTCCCCTTAATGCATTTTCCCAATGTGACCATAAAGTGTAATACCCAACAAAAGATGGTTCATGCACTCTTACCCATGTAACCATGTTTCACAGAGATAGACCACATCTGGCTTTTCTTTGCACAGATAAAGTTTAATTTCTGCAAGTTTTCCATATAATCCATGACAATTTAATTGCACTATTTCCATACCCAATTCTCTTCTGTAATAGCAAGTTAACTGCTGGGATTTTAATGTACCATAGCTCATAGTTATTGTGCTGAACTGCTTACAATCTTGCCTTTGCCCCTCCCTTTGTTACAACACAAGTCAACTGTGAGAAAGACAGCCCAGATGGAGAGGTCAAATTTTCAACAGATGCTTGAGCAGCTTG